TCGTATCAACACATGGGTGTACGTCTTTGTAAATGTTTCTTTCGTTTAAAATCTACTGGATTTTGAGGTTTTACTTTTTTTATGTTGCATAACCCTTTATGAATGTCCAGTGATAATCCCATGGAGTATTTACATATATAAAAAAGTGTACAACTCTATAGACAAATTGATATGATTTGTTTTTACTTTCAGAAAGTGGACGAAAACTATCTGTTGCTGGCTACAGATGCAGGAAATATTGTTTACGTAACTTTGCACGATAGTTGTTTGAAATATACATTAGATGTAACCCAGACGCCCATAACCAGTATGCAATTCGTCAAGAGTTTAAACGACTTTATTTACATGTACGTGGGCTGTTTGGATACAGTTCTACGGATTTGCGATTTCCGAGGACGGAAAATACTACAAGGCATCCCAATTTGCGATGAAATTATGTGCATGGATTACATGTGGGACTATCTGTTTATGGGCTGTAGGAACGGTTCTTTGATTCGATTCTCATCTAAAGTAAGCGTTAGTCCATGTATATTTGAACAATTTAGTTAAAAGAAAATCCCAGAAATTTAGAGTCGAGTTTGAAGAGAAAAACACGGGTAGTGATATTTTGGTGGTGAAAGCTGCCCAAGAAGGACCTCGCCGCATTTTACTAGTTGGACATCGAAATGCCCCGATTTATGTGCGAGATGCCATGTCCGGATTGTGTCTCAGGAATTTCAGCAACGAAGCGATCGTTCCAACCGTTTATTCCATAATAATAAAAGGAAGTAGTCTATATTGTGGTACTGCCAAAGACAATATCCTAGTTTTTTCGTTCCACGTAAGTCATTTTTTCAAATAAATGTTGGCATCGTTTGGGGACACGCACTGTTGTTTTAGGAAGGTAAATTGATCAATAGCATTATTGCGGACAGAGCGAAAGGGATAAGCTGCATGAAAATTAAGTACAACCGTCTTTATGTGGGCTGTTATAACGGATCAATTTACATCTACGATTTGGATGGCATTAAGCTCATTACGAAACTATACGGTCCTGGGGGAAGCATTCAATGTATGGCGGTTTTAGACACACAGGTTAGTTGGAAAACTTTTTCAAACACTGAAGGGGAATAGTTTTCTCTGTTCCGTTAAGGGCGTATTGCTCGAAGGGAAAACATTTCCACTAGGGCCGTGTAACCGGTCTACTAAGCAGTCTTTTATCATTAAAAGAACTACTCATTCTTCTCATGTAGAATAATTTTCAAAACTAGTTTCTTAACAATGCTTAAGCAAAGCACTAGACATTTTTAAAACACATTTATTTTAAACCAAATTTCATGAATATAATCAGTACATTTTTAAAAATAGTTTTTTTTATTAAAATTTGAAAAAATGTTGGAAATATTAATTTTCTTAGACAGATTTTTGATTATTGTCTTTCGTTTTCAGATAGTTGTTGGCACGCTTTCCGGAAAATTTGCCTCACTGAGTTGGCACAGCAAGACACCTTAGTTATTTCCAACAGACGTTTTCAAATTTGCTTTTAAGGTAGGTTATTTACTAAATTTTAAGGAAAATGATTGCCATTCTAATATTTTATGTCTATTATTTGGTATTTGTTTTGACTAATTGTATAGTAAGTTTGGTGAATGTAATGCTTATTTCGGCAGTTGTCAACAACTAGAAGAAAATTCATTAAGGGAAACTAGAATTAGTGATCGATTTTATTACTTATTAAGGTACATTCCGAAGAATAATTCACGTTTGTATTTAACTTTTTGATTGGTTACTGTAGTAATTAAGCTATTGTTAGTAATAAAAAATAAATGGCCAGTGTTTCCACTCACTATAATACACTCGTAACAGTAACGTTTATATTCACATCATATAATTTCAACATCATTTTAAAATTACCTCTATTAATATTGTTTTTGGAATATTAATTAAGCTAATAATTCTGTTAATCGATTAGCTTAGACAGGGCATTTTACAAACGACTGCTGATCTGTTGGAAACTTCCCGGTTTGCCTCTCACTAGGCGGCTTTTTATTTTCCATACATCCTGAAAAACATTCAATTGGACTTTATGACATCCAATGATTTGTGCCATCCAGTGCCCGTAAAACTGTACTTATACCGATTTGAACTTACGATAAAGTTTGTTGATGTAAGTCCTAATTTTTGAGCTGTTGCCTCTAATTCAACAGCCAATTGCTCTTGGCTGGTTCCTCTCACGTCGATAAACTCACAATTGCTGTCCGCATAGTGGCAAGATATGGCCTTTCTAAACCCCTAAAAATATTTAATGTAATTGTCTAGGAACTTACTTTTGGATTTTACTTTACTTGTGTTCGGTTCGGTCCTGACCCGTGTAGGATATGCGGATGGAAAAACACCGTATCCCCTTTTTCCATTATTACGAATGTTTTTTTCAGATGATCAAATCCTTGCACTCCCAAGTACATAGGCTTTCGAAATCCCTTGAAACACGCTTTATTGAGTAGTACGTTTTTTTTGCATTAGTTTAATACTAGATATTCACCTCTGGGTATGTATGTTCATACATGGGCCCTTTATGGGAGCCTGAAATTACATAAAGGCATCCATTTGACTCATCTACGCGTTCTAGTGCGGTCCAAGAAGCCACTATTTTGTTGGGTGGACGAAATGGAAAATAGAATATGTCCTGAAATAATTCAATTGTATATTCGCTGTTAAATGGTTTATAAATTTCAAAAGTACATGTTCAGATTAATTGTTTACCTGGTGCAAGGGATGTAGGGAAGAACTAGCTTTGGCATTTGGCGGTTTGTTTATGAACATTGAGTGTGCAACTGTAATATTCGGTCCAATTATTTCCTCAACCACGTTGACGACATTTACATCGGATGCGTATGACCAAAATACAGGATCAAAAGCAAAGTCTTGCAACTGAAAATATCATTTTGCTTTTTAGTCACTTAAATACCTGTTTTTTCTTTTCGCTCAACCGATTATTAATTGTTCGTTCATTGCTTGTTGGTCGGAAAATAACTACCTTGTAGAGAATAAATACAAGAGTTCATTTATCAAGAATCAATCACATATAATAATATGACTATTGAGAATAATATTAAAATATTTAAATATTTATTTGCTCTTGATGTTTCTAAAAAAACTCATTGTTTTCTTGTTATACTTATGTTCTAATCAACTGTTTTGCCCACACTTAACAAAACACTAGTTATCTTACTTTGATGGGACGCGGGTGCGATTACCTATCAGTCTGCTTACCTTATCAATTAAGTGTTCGCCTTTAGCATTTGAATGTTTCAACGATGGATCTTTCATGACCATAAAAACTTGGTGATCTGTCGAACCCTTGCAAATATCTATGAATCGTTTCCTGGTTCAAGAAAACAATATTATCAATTTGAGTAAAATACCTACACATTAATAATCCTAAATAAAAAACCAATATTTTAATTAAATATGAAATATATTTACATGCAATTATCCAGAACTTCAGGATCAACGTTGTTTCTAACGACGATATATCCATTGTCTTCGTAAAATTGTTTCTGTTCGGGAGTCAAACTGCGTCTGTAAACAATTTTAAGTGTTGTAAAAATCCCTTTTGTACATTTTATTTAATTTTCGTTTTATTTGTTGTTAATAACTGTTTTATAAAAATATCTCTTGGGTGGTTGATTGGATATATTTCCTTATTATTCCTTACTCGGAAATGCGCCTATTTCCCTCTGCATGGTTTGTGGGGTGGGTGTTTTCAAAATTATTTGTATTAAAACGTTCTGTAATCATCTTATTGATCGGTGTTTTAAAGTACGATAAATATATTTTCCTTTTCAAACGAATGTAAAAAACTAATTGGTAAAATTATAAAAATCGTTTAAAGTACCCTAATTATTTTCTAAATTATAATTGAAATATAGTTTTTTTACTTTGACCTGTTTGCTCTTGCTCTCTAATTTATCTGGATTAATAGCGCTAATTAAAACGCTTGACAACTTTAAAGCAAATTACTCAGTTTTCTTAATACGCTATTTAACTATACTTAAATACAGTCTTCCAATTGGAGATTAAATTACAATTTAAAGGTATCATGTCAGTTGTATATGTTTTTCATACTTGAGACACAATTGTGGTAGCAAAAATTTTAAATCACCTTATGGATATAATTTAACGAATAACAAAAAACGATTAAATGTGGATTTATCTACAGGCAAATCTTTGTAGATGTTACTAAGCGGATTTTTTGTCATTGAAGCCGAACAGATAACATTTTTTAAAAACCTACATGCGCTTTGAGGCATGTGCGTTGCTTCTTGAAGTAAACGCATTTATATCTTAAAATAAATTACTATAACCTTGTATCTATAAGATATGCTTGGATTTAAATTATTTGCGTAAATTATATTCATGATTGTAATTTTTGCAATTTTCTTCTAAAATCATCTCAAGGCAGACCGCGGAAAAGAACTATTAAACTCATTGAAGTACATACATATTATGAAACCCATTACACAGAAGTTATCATATTGTTAATTGTACTTAAAAACTTACTTGATGTACGCCATTATTGTATTTTTAAACGCTGTTCGGTGCTATTTACTGCATACGGCGCCAATACTTCGCGTTCTCTCTACTTACTACTGATGCATGTTGCTATCTGTGAAAGTCCAAACCATTCAGTTTGTTTTTGAATAATGCAGAACGAGTTTATTGATTCGCCTGACAACAGAGACGTACTTACGTATTTTAAATCATCATATCGTTTTTTATACCTTCCAAACTAAAAACAAATGTATAACTTCTTTTGTAAACGTATTTTTCTGGCTTTCTCCTTTTCCGCACCTTGTAAATAAAGCTACAGCTATAGCTGTATGTTTAATCATTGTTCCCGTGTATGATTATTTTTCCCGCGCCTTACTCGCATGAGCGAAATTTGCGTTTTCATTTTTTCTTGGGGATTTAATGAGGACAACTGATCACTATTTATTTATGAATCATTTATTATTATAATTGACAAGCTCTAATCTGATTTATTTTTAATTACAAAGCAAGTTTGCAGACCTTCTATAAAATATACTTTTTTTACAAAATATACAGTTACATCCGCATAAAATCCTTTTAATACTTTTAATATCTCGATAATAGCTAATGTAAATATTCATTGATAAAAAAGTCCAATTGGAGGTCAGGCACAACAAAGGCACTATTTTAAAGTTGTTATATTAGACATAAGTACTATTTTCGTCATCCTAACAAAATATTTCTAAAAGTTATACATTTAACTACGGAAAATGGAATGATCATGTAATGTGGAACTTAATAACTTTAAAAAACAAAACATTTTTTCTCTACACTTATTTTCGCTATACAATACTGCAAATACGAGACGCTTCATTAAATTAGTTTTAGCACATATTTATCGGCTTTTTCGATTGAACTTCTCTAAAATATCGATCAATTAAAGCGAATGAAGCTTCCCATATAGTCGGTATACACATATTTACAAAAATACGTCTCCAAATTGATATTACACAAAGAGTGGACCTATAAAAAATAAATATTAATCTAGGCAGTTTCACAGACGGTCACGTGGAACGTAAAAATAAAACGCGAACAAAAAATACAAAACTAAAATTACAATAAAAAGGCATAAAAAAATCAGGAACAATGATACAATAAATACAAATAAAAACAAGTCGTATGTACACGTTTAATCCGAATTGCAGACTTAATAAATTTAAATAAAAAGTTTTTAAACATCTAACAAGTATAAAAACAAAATTTGAAATATTAAATAATATCACACTATTTATTTTAAATAACGTTTTTCTGCGTAATCGTCACCTGGTTCTTGGACACGAGATCAAACTCCACTTAAAAAAGGCGAAACATCGCAAAGTGATTTGTTTACTAACCAAGAGGGTCAGTTATTAAACTTAATTTAGATAAGATTATTTAGGAAAACACTCAAATCTGTTGTGTGTAATATTGATAATAAATGCTACTTTAACTTTGATAAAATTAAAATGATAGAAGTTTCAAAATCATGGTCAAAAGTGTGAAGTGTGTTAAACAGATTTGAATATTTCCTTCCTTTCAGTCCATTTAACTACTAAAAAAGGTGGAACTTAACTTCAAATTTATTCGGTCACTAGAATGAATACTAGTGTAGACATTTTTTATTATACCTATTTATTATAAAATCTTATATGAAAATAATGTAAAACCTAAACTCTTGCCATAGTCAGGAAGTTGTTTACTGTAAAATACGTCAATTGCGCTTGTTAATTAAGTTTCGCACACTTTCCTTTCCTAGGTCCAAAGATTGCACAACACGAATTTAAGGTTTACAATAGTAGATACTCTAAGTAACTGCTCATCGTACTAGATTAACAAGGTTTAAACCTGCGACAAATACGATCTAAAATTCGCCTATATGTAAACTGGCCCTCTAAACGAGAACGGTAAGCACGTCCGCACTAGCACTAGTATTCTGTTGTAATGTCCTCTGTTTATTTACATTAATAATGTTTTTACTAAAGTCTTTGTGCCCTGACGAGTCGTCGAACGGGGCCGTGTTTTTCCGCACGTCCGGATTTTGAGCTTTGTACAGCATTATTTGACTACTTCTATGGGCTGGACTTAATCCATCCAAAGTCATGCTTTCGCTCAGTTTTAGCGTCGTTTCGGAAGCGCTGGTACCCGGCAGAACCAGCATCGTTTTTCTGTTACCCGGACATTCCACTTCGGAGATCATTTCCAACATTTCACTCGATCCTTCGGTCGGTAGCATTGACGATAGCGGTCGAACTACACTCACTCGCGGCATATCTAGACCGCACGCACTTGCCGAGTTAATGCTTGCCATGCTTCCGACGTCCTCTTTTAGAGGATTCGCATATCTGAAACAAAACCAAAAATTACAATCGTCTGTTTCAACATTATTGAAAGTTTGCTTCGTTTCTTTATTTTTGTATTTTCAAATAACCTTTTTGTTTGAGTTTATATATAGTTTTGCGAGCGTACAACTTCGATTTTTAAATGAGACATTCTGCATATTATTTTTTTTTATTAAGCTATAGCTCTGAGAAATTTTTTCGCGATTTTGATATAAAGGGCGATTTAAGTTTAATCTTAATTCCAAATCAAAATTAATTTCTGGGTTTCAGTCATTTATCGTCTTTATTTATCAATTAAAATACGTTTCGGTGTATTTTTCCACCATCATCAGTTTTTCTAAAATAAAATAGTTTAAAAAAAAATCATGAATTTAAAAAACAATCACAGTTCGTCAACAGCCATATGATGATATCACACATTAAAATACATCACAATTGCAATTGCCATTACATTCCCTATTAAATGATAGATTGTGTTCTTATACCTAAATCGTTAACTTTACGGAAGTACCGACATCACACCGAAAGTTATTTTAATTTTTTCCATTTTTTTCCAAATTTAAAGCTCATGATATAGCGGAAAATATACAGTGTTCAATTTAAAAAATGCAATTGGAGTCGTTTTCATTTGTTACCAGATCACTAAGACAGCCTCAATTTCTCCGTGAGGCCCTAAGCATAGGGATTTTTCAAGCGAAAATTTGACAATTTCACGAATAGAAATGTCGTTTTAATACCAGATTTCTATTTTCTTTTTCTATGGTCGAAGTTTTAATAAAAAAATATGAAGATTATTTCAAAATTTGCAAACTGCTTTAGATAGGTATAGGAATCGATAAGCAAATATAATCAGCTTTATAAGCGTGCAACAATATACTTGGTGTTTTGTTTAAAACATGGAAGTTGGTACTTTTTGAAAACATTTCGGGTTGATACATATTTGATTACGTGAATTAGCGACAAAATTGACGAAAACTCGGTAATAGTTATCTATACAGAGTGACCAAGATAAGGATGCATTGCATGGGGATCTCCAAAACCGTAAGAGATACGAAGTCGGTTAAATTAGGAAAAAGCATCGCAATCAAGGGGACATTTTCGAAAGTCAAGTATTTCGTTTAATTATTGAGGTCTTTATCTTGGACATCCTATATAAGTTACATTAAACGCCTTATATACCTGTTGTTTCTTGTGCGCCCTTTTTTAATTTTTAGGCTTGCCACTTACCTTTTCAGATTTTCTTCGTTTTGCAAATTATTCGACTTTTCATCTTCATGATTACGGTGGCACGTTTCGGTGGACGGTGACAAATTGACGCCGCTCATTCCCAGGTTCCGCCTTCGCTGCCTCAAGTAGAGAACCCCAGCTAGAATGGCCGTTGCCACTCCGATTATGATGAAGCACACCAAAGCCACCAGTAGCTTGTTGCTTTGTTGCTCGCCAGACACCAGGGCTGTTTCCACTTTGACTTCCACAATCGAAGCCAATGCTAGTAGGGAAGTTTGTTTCCTTGAAATCGCCTCTCCGACTACGCGAATTCCATCCAGAACCCACTGGTTTCCGAACTGAAAACACACATAAACTTAGAACGAATCGACGGGAAAGTTTGTGAATGAGTTAAGAACGTTGCTTACCAGAGTTACTTCGACGGTGTCATTGTAGTCGGTTTTTAAATCGCAAAGTAGCACCAAGTGATTTTGAAGCCCTTCAATAGCTTGCTGGTTGGCTAAAAGGCCCCTGAGGTCCCCACATAGACCTTCCACTGTAGTTCCTTGGGGAAGTTTCACTTTGTCGACGAGTAGAGTGAGACGAGCGCAGGTATTGCTCAAAGTCGCCTGATTGGGCCAACAGGAACTAGGACTTGGGAGCACTGGCGCTTTCACGCGCCGCCCTGGATAAAGAAACTGCTTTAGACATACGAGAGGAAACATGGAGGAGATTCACTTACCGCTTTCCAGTTCCCTGCATTCCCCATACGGCAAACATGGAGGAGACAAGCACGATTCTCCCGAAGCAGGAACACACACTTGATTGAGAGTGCACATGGTATTCTGCTGCTGATTGGTGGTTCTGCAGTTTCCGAGGCCGCACCATACTTTAGTGCATTTCACTATGCCGCCGCTGCAGACGCAGGTGTTGCACTCGTGCTGCCACGTCACGTTATTCTCCAAAGTGTGACTGTTCCAGACGCAGCTTCCTGGAGACGGCAGATATGCTATATCATCCACTGGAAAAGTTACGTTTGTTTTGAGAATTGCCATGTTCACCTATTTTTTTACAAACTTCTTTTTGGGTATTT